GGCGAATAATTCAGAATATATTTACAAATTATTCAAAGTTAAGTAAATCGTAATAATTTCTTACTTCTGAATTTCTTTATTATGGAATAGTTAATATTTTTTTTTTAAATAAAATTAGAAATTTTAAAAATAATAGAACGCAAAATTTTTTTTTTATAAAAATAAAATATGAATTGGAATATATATATCTAGTTTTAATATTATTATAATTATAATAATCATATTATTCTGACGTAGAAAATTCAGGGAAAAGTCAGGAATTTTTATTAAAATTACTGAAAAAAATTAAATTTTTATAATTTATAAGAAAATTCTGAATTTTTGTGTATTTTTTGTTTGATTTATAAACTATAAAATTACCACGAATTTTAATACAAAATCTTCAATTTTTTCAATTTCAAAAGAGTTGCGTTTACAATTTTCATAAGTAAATGAACTTCAAATGGTTTCAATTTGAAATTTTATAAAATTTCAATGTTGAATGAATTTAATTAGAAATTTTAATGAACTTAGATTTTTGAAAAATTTTATTAATTCAAAATCTTCTAAAATTAGTTAATTTTGTCCATATGTATTTAATTAATTATTAAAAATAATGTATTTATAGAAGAATTTTAGTTAAAAACAGTAAAAAAAAATTGAATTTTAGAAGAAGTTACAAATTATTGCAGAAATTCAATTATTTTCAAAAGTAATAAAATTCTTATTACAAAATTTAATTATGTTTAAAATTTACAAGAAACTCTCGACAAAATCACAATTATTATCTTTATAAATAAAAAAAATTCTTCAAAATTCAATAATTTTCAAAAATTTTAATAAAATTCTTCTCAAAAACAATTTTAATAAAATTGTACGCAAAGATTTAGTTATTTTCATAAATAATAAAAATTTCCCAGGAATTAAAATATTTACAAATTTTTTATAAGTTTCTTCTCAATAATTCAATTATTTTCAAAAATAATAAAACTCGTCGCAGAATTTCAATTATTTTTAATACAATTTTAATCAAATTCCATGAAAAATGTAATTATTTTTAAAAATTTTATTAAAATTCGTCGAAAGAATTCAATTATTTAAAAATTTGTTAATAAAATTCTTTATAAGAATTAAATTTTAAGAAACATTTAATTATATAATTTACGTTTGTATTTAAATAATTTAATTCTCATAGAATTTTCTAATAAAAATTAATTTAAAAATTAATTTTAGATAATAATAATTGAATATGGAAATAATTTTTAACGAGTTACAGTTACAATATTCTTATCTTATAATATAAAATAATGATTTTAACACTCGATTCTCTTTAATTATTATAAAACATGAAGAAATCAATCACTCCGAGTCGAAGACTCGGAGTGATCGTTTTCTTCATGTTTTATAACAATATTTTTAAAGTTGATTAATTTCAAAATGATTTGAATTTGAAAGTTTTGAAAATCTTAATTCTTATAAAATGGATGGAAAAATAATAATAATTAAATATTTAAAATGTTTAAAAAAGAAATTATTATTTTCGAATAATTTAAAAATTGAAGATATTCGTAAATAAATTTACTAGAACATTTTTTTAAATAAAATTTTTTCCTTTAATTTCTAAAAATTCAAAAATTTTCAGTATCATTTTCAATTAAATTTTCTAATTGACAAATATAATTTATAAACATTTTTTTTCCTTTATTTTTAAAAAACTTTGAATTTTATTAAAACAATTGGAATTAAGAATTAGAATTGATGCAAATTATTTCCTTATAAAAATTGAGAATTTTCTACAAAAATATTAAGAAACGAGAATATCTAATGTTTTTTTTCCCAAGAGAAAAAAATGAGTTTGTAAACAATCAATTTCAATCAATTTCAAACGAAATTTTTCTTTGAAAAAGCATATAACAAACAGAATGGGTATATTTTTTATTTGTTAATCATAATTTTTTTAAAATTTGCAAAAATAAGTCATGTTTTTGAAAATTCTGGGAAAATTTTATATTGTTATTGTTATCACTATTCTTAATATTTTTATTACCATCAATATTTTCAATATTATTATTATTATTATTATTATTATTATTATTATTATTATTATTATTATTATTATTATTGTCCCTGCCGCAAAATGGAATTTACTACTGTTACAAATGTAACAATAACCCGCAAAAGTCCGTCTCACTAAAACTGTCTTTTACTACTGACACTAAAACTAGGAGGATTTTAAACGATTCAATAAAACTGTTTTTTACTGCTGATACTTAACAAACAAGCATTTAAAACGTTATGTCTAAGCTGAAATTATTTCACTGGTGGAAAAGTATTGAAAACTGTGTCTGATTAAAAAATGCTTGTACTACTAATTCTTGATTAATTCAGAAGTTTTTCGATTATTGCGACTGGAATTAGCACTTTTGCTATTTACTGATAGTTGATTTTATATTTTCTTATACATGTAATAATTTTATAATAATTAGCAAAAGAAAAAAATTTATCTTAACCGAGAAACTATTTTTTTTACTGTGGTATTAAAATTTTTTAATTTTTGTCTAAAGATAATACTTTATATTGAGAGGAATTTGGAGAAATTTGTAAAATTAATACCTGGGAGAAATTGACTTAAAATAACGACTTTTTGACATATTTTTACTAAAGTTCTGATAGAAGTATTAACAAAGAGAAATTTTTTTTTTTATTTATGAATTAGAGAAATTTTTTTTTTTTGACTAAAAATTTCTTCTACTGCTTAGAATAACATTAACTTTGAGAGATTAATGGGGAATTTAGTTGAATTTTTATTAAAAACAATTTATTTAGATTGAAAGATTGAGGGAATAAAAATAAAAAAAAGTTTACTGGAAGAAAAAAGGTTAGTCTGACTAAAATTGACATCAACTACTGTCGTTTTAATTCCAATTAGAGGTAAAAGTTTGTCTGACTGAAATGGTATTTTTCTACTTTAACTGAAATTTTAAATTGCCTTTTCTTACTGAATGTTTTTATGTAAAAAAATTATTTTAAACTCTTAAATTGAATCTTATTTTTGATTAATAATATTGATAAAAGTATAAAATAGAAATAGGTTTTATTTAAATATTTTCTTGACTGATTAAAATTGGACTTTACTACTTATACTTAAATCACAAAAGTAAAATAAATAAAAAAATAAATAGTATTTAAAATTATATTATTATATATTATATTATTATTATATATTATTTTATTATTATTATTATTATAATTTTATTATATTCTGGATAAATTTTCAGGAACTTTCCTTGAAATTTGACAATTTGTCCTTTTTTTTCATAAAACAGAAGTAACTTTCGAAAACTGATGCATTTTTATTGGAAATTTAAAAATTTATTCTAGTTTTGATGAAAACTGATAAATTTTTCAAAAATTGTTGTATTTTTCCTTCAATTTCAAAAACTTTGGCTATAGTTTTATGTAAAATAAACATTTTTCGAAAATTGGATCACATTTTTTTTTAATTTAAAAAATTTGATCTAGTTTGGCTGGAGCATACGTCGAACATTGATGCACTTTTTCTTTAAAATTTCGTACATTTGATTCAGTTTTTCATAAAAGTGGAGTATTTTTCGAGAATTCATGCTTTTTTCTTTGAAATTTGAAAATTTGACCCACTTTTCTGTATAAAAATTTAACATTTTTCAAAAATTAATAAACTTTTGTTTTTAAAAATAGAAAAGTTACTTTAGTTTTATGAAAAAAGTGTAGAATTTTTCAAAAATTTGATATTTTCTCTTTTAAAATTTGAAAATTTGATCCATTTTTTTTATAAAAATATAGGATTTTTTAAAAATTGATGAAGTTTTTTTTAAATAGAAAATTCGATCTAGTTTTATGAAAAAGTTGAGAATTTCTTGAAATAATTGATGCATTTTTCTTTGAAATTAACTCTTGTTAAAGAGAAAATATTGTATTTTTCGAAAATTAATGCATTTTTTTTTTAATTTTAAAAATTTTACCCAGGTTTTCATAAAACTGACGATTATAATTTTCTAATAAAAATTATTTGACCTCATCAAGAAAAAATATTTCTTTTCTTTAATATCGAGTAGAAAAAGGCAATTTTAGTCAGACCGAATGTTTAGTCTTAATTTAAATTCATATTTACCTAATAACAAAAATTTTCTACTTAAGATATTTTTCTTTTCTGAATATTCTGTTATTTGTAAAACAAATTTTTCGTTTTAAGTAGTATGAGGCATTTTTAGTCAGACAGGAGTCGAATTTTTTGCACTTTAATTTAAAATATTAAGAAAAATATGATTTTTTTATTGTCATTGAAATAATAAAAATTAATTTGATCACTTTTGCTCACAGAAAACATATTTTCATTAGTGTAATAATTATGCACTCAAAAAATAATTTGTTTGAAGCAACTAAACTTTGCTTGAATCAGTTAAATAAAATAATTACTGCACAGTAAACCAAACATTTGTTTAATGCAACTAAAAGTTTCACTGGTAACATAATAATATCAAATTGCAACGAATTTATACCAAAAATGTGAATCGAATAAAAAATTAATCTAAATTTTTGGCATCAATTTGATTTAGTTTTGTATCAATTTAATACTTTTTTAAAGAAAACTGTGTTGCTGTAGATGACTAAATTCCATTTTCGAAAGTAAAAGTTTATTAATCCGAACCAAATTTTAAATATTTAGTATGTTTCAAAATTTATTTGGAATAACCTAAAATTTGATAAAAAATAGAAAATAAAATAAAAAATAACATAAAAATTGAAATTTTTATGTTATTTTTTATTTTATTTTCTATTTTTTAGAATTTGTTGTTGTATAAAAAAATAGAGAATTTGCTTCAAGGAATTGTTTCCTGAAAGTGCGAGCGACAATTTTTTTTATCATTCTCGATAGTCAGCTTATTTATAGATTTTAAAAAATAAACAATAAGCAAAAAAAAAAAGAAAAAGAAAAATAGAAAAAAAAAATTAACAAACATTTTTTGTCTATTTTGTTACAGTGTAGCGGTCACGAGGTGAAATGTTTCACCGGTGGTCCAAGAAAAAGTAACGAGTCCCAATGTCCAATGTTGCAAAAAAGTGAGAAACTAACATCATCATCATCAACAACAACGCCATTATCAATTGGAAAAACAATGAATAATCGTAATCATCAAAATAGCACGTGTAGCGTAACAAATTCACCGCATCAAAAGAAACTTAGATTTCAATTGGCTAAAGAGAGAAAGGCAAGCACAACACTTGGAATAATAATGAGCGCCTTTATAATATGTTGGCTACCATTTTTTGTTCTTGCATTAGTGAGGCCATTCCTCAAGGATCCACAATCAATACCAACGGCAGTATCAAGTGTCTTCCTTTGGCTTGGCTATTGCAACAGTCTTTTGAATCCAATTATTTATGCAACATTAAATAGGGATTTCCGTAAGCCCTTCAGAGAAATTCTGTTCTTCCGGTGTGGCAAGCTCAATCATATGATGAGAGAAGAATTTTATCATAGTCAGTATGGTGATCCAGTGAATAAATATATTAGATCTGGCGATGAAATTGGAGGTCATCGCGGTGATAATCATTGTGTTGAAGCAATTGATGTTGCACCCAATACGCCCAATGAAAGTTTTCTATGATCCCCGTGAAGTCGATTAACGAATGTGAATTTTTAATAATTCTCTTCAAAATATAAAACACATAATAATATACAAGTTACAAGATGAGGATTATTATTTCAATTATTTGTTTTTTTTTCATCTACTGACACACTCAATTTTGCCCTTCATGTCTCACTTTCCGTATAAAAATATTTAATCATCAATGTATTTCATTTATTTTTTCGAAATAAAAAAAAATGTTCAATTAAAATTGTTACAATTAGAGAAAAATAGAAAATGATTTTTTTTTTCCATTGGAAAAGAACATTTGTCACTATTATAGAATATTTCTTTGTAAAATTACATTTTGACATTTAATTTTCAAACGTTGGTAAATTACAATCGATTTGTTTTCAAAAAGTTTCGTTCATTAATTCGAATTTTCGATAGACTGGAATTTTTTTCAGGTGCGAATCTGGTAAAATTTGAAAGCAATTATTTTTTATTTAAAATTCTTTTCATATTTTACGTCGTGATTTAGTACAGTTTGGAAATAATTGGATTTTTATTTGATAGAATTTATATCAGGCGATTTTTTTTAGTAGAATTTTTGTTTTATCGAATTTTCTTTCCAGTAGAATTTTCGTTTAATCGAATTTTTATTCTTCAAATTTTTATTTAGCCCGTTTTTCAATTAATTAAATTGTTATTTTAGCGAATTTTTATTTGGTCAACTTATTAATTAACACAATTTTCATTTAACAAGTGAATTTTTATTTGACATAATTTTTAATTTAGCGAATTTTTATTAGAATGAACTTTTATTAAGTCGAATTTTTAATTCATTAAATTTTTAATTAAGCGAATTATTATTTGACCACATTTATTTTTATTTAGCCTCACTTTTCACTAACTATATTTTTATTTCATCGAATTTTTATTTAGCCCGTTTTTCAATTAATTAAATTTTTATTTCAGCGAATTTTTATTTGGTCAAATTATTAATTAACACAATTTTCATTTAACAAGTGAATTTTTATTTGACATAATTTTTAATTTAGCGAATTTTTATTAGAACGAACTTTTATTAAGTTGAATTTTTAATTCACTAAATTTTTATTTCAACGAATTTTATTTGTACGAACTTTTATTTAGCCGAATTTTTCATTAACTATATTTTTATTTCATCGAATTTTTATTTAGCCCGCTTTTCAATTAATTAAATTTTTATTTTAGGGAATTTTTATTTAGTCAAATGTTTAACTAACACAATTTTGTATTTCACAAGTGAATTTTTATTTGACCTCACTCTAAATTTAGCGAATTTTTATTAGAACAAACTTTTATTGAGCCGAATTTTTTATTTACTAAATTTTTATTTAAACGAATTTTTATTTTAACGAACATTTATTTAGCCGAATTTTTCATTAAATATATATTTTTTTCATCGAATTTTTTTATTTAGCCTCTTTTTCAATTAATTAACTTTTTATTTTAGCGAATTTTTATTTAGTCAAATTTTTAATTAACAGAATTTTTATTTCACAAGGAAATTTTTATTTGACCTAATTTTTAATTTACATAATTTTTATTAGAACGGACTTTTATTTGGCCGAATTTTTAATTAACTACACTTTTATTTAATAGAATTTTTATTTTACCAAATTTTTAAGTCAGCGAATTTTTATTAGACCGAAATTTTATTTAGCTGAACGTTTAATTCACTAAATTTTTATTTAAGAGAATATTTATTTGAATATTTATTTATATTCTTTACTTTATTTATTTAAATTTCTTAATTGAATTTCTGATTAGGTCGAACTTTTGATTAGTAAAATGTTTTATTTGGCTAAATTTTATATTCTTTACTTCATTTATTTAAATTCCTTATTTTTATTTAAATTTCTGATTTGGAAGAATTTTTTAAAGTAAAATTTTTTATTTGGCCAAATTTTAAATCAAATTTTCGTTCAATAGTTTTTTCTGTGCAATGAAAATTTTGAGGGGTATAATTTTTATTTGGCAGAATTATAATTCTATTTATTTGTTTTTTATTTAGCAGAATTTTGATAAAATTATTCAGAAACTTTTTTCTTGAGAGAAATTCTTTTAGATAAAAATCTGTAAAGTTCTTCTTTTACAAAAATTCTGTTAAATAAAATGATAATTAAGTAGAATTTCAATTAATTGATTCCAATGACGATAAAAATTCCAATTAAATAATTCTTGGAGTAATTTTAGATTCAGTTGAAAAATAATTTCCTTTTTCTTATGATTTATTTAAATGAAAATTCGATAGACTGTGAAACACCAAAAAAATATTTACAATTGATTGTAATTTCTAACGTTGGTGGTAAAAAAATTTGTGGTGGTTACAAATCTAAAACATATTCATTGCATTAAAATATATTTGCATTTTTTTCAATTGTTTATTATTCTTTTTACTATTTTTATTATAATGAAATCGATCAACTAAATATTTAAAAAAAGTAAATAAATCGTTTTCTATTATTCAAATTGTTTATTATAATAAAAAAACTACTAAAATTTTTATTCTAATTTTTTGATTTTCGAAATTTTTGAAACTCTCAACTTTTGGGGAGCTCATGTTCGCTCTCTTAAAGCTGCTTAAAACAATTGAGTACGACAGTACGTAGTTTCTACTGCGAACAAAGTTCCATAAATTTAATGAAAAGGAGTTTTCAAAATGTATCTCCTTTTTCCAACACACACACACGCCTGTCGACGAAATATAAAACAAAAAAACAATCTTCTTCTCCCCTTCAAAAAATAATTTAAAACTTTTTTTCTACAATTTTTCTCATTATTTTTTTTTTCTTTTTTATCAACTCGATAACGATAAAAATATCAACGAGTGTCATGAGATGAAAAAAATATCTCCTTAACTTTTCTAGTGAACGAAAAAAAAAGAAAATAAAAAAGGGACAAAAAATTAGGATCGTGAAATTCTCTATTATAATATAGAAAAGTGAAAGACATTTGCAGTGTGAAGTAACACTAATATATCATGAACCAATTTAGAACAATCAAAAAAACAAAACAAAAAACGGACTATTTTGCAAGTATAGTGAAAGAAAATGTTGTTTAAAAAAAATAACTTATAATAACGATCAATTTAGAAAAATTTTAATGGCGATGGGTACGAACAATATAACATATTATACTTAAAAATATGAAAAAAAACTAAAAAAAGTGACTATTCAAAATCAAAGTGGATTTATCAATAAGTTAATGACGTTATAAACAAAAACACATTCACAAAAAAATTCGCTGTTTAGAAAAATTGTGAAACTTTGTAGAGAAATGATAATATCTGTAAAAGTGAGAAACCAAAAAAAAAAAAGAAAAAGAAAATTCAAAGTAGTCAATAATGTAGTTATGGGTCAAGAATGAATCTTTCTCCAGTGTTCATTAAACGAGTGGAAATACACAACTGGAACAACAATTCTTTATTTAAATTTAAAAACAAAACGAAATTGTTAATTTAAAAAATTGAAAATTTATTATTCGTCTTCCTTAAATTATTCACCCAACAATTTTAAGAATATTGTTAATTTCAATATTTCAATTATTTCTAATTCTAAATTATTAAACTCTAAATATAGTTTATATAATCATTTAAATTATTGTAAATATTTGTATATAAAAGTATTATTATTAAATTTATTTTAATTGTTATTATTAGGATTATTATTGTTATTATTATTATTATTATTACTATTATCTTTATTATTATTATTACTTTTATTATTTAAAAAAATGGTTACAACTTTGGTGTTCTTATAAAAAAACTTGTCAAAAATTTAAAAATGTTACTCAAATATAATAATGTTAATATAATGTTTAAATAATGTTATATTGTTAATGAGTTGCTATTGAAAAAAATAGGATTTAATTGTTTTCATAAAATAGTTTCTTTTTACTCATAATTTCAAAATAGTAGGTATCTAAAAAATTTGTAAATTGAAACTTAAAAATTTAGTTTGACAAATTGAATTAAAAAAATTAATTTGAAAAATTAATTTAAAAAATTGACATTAAAATATTTGACTAAAAATTTAAGATAAAAAATTAAATTTAAAAAATTTATTTAAAAATTAATGACAAAAAATTGAAATTAAAAAATTTATTTTTAAAAATTAAAGATAAAAAATTGAATTTAAAAAAATTTATTTAAAAATTAATGACAAAAAATTGAAATTAAAAAATTTATTTTAAAAAACTAAAATTTCGAAATTTAATTAAAAAAAAAAATGTAAATTTGAAAAATTGAAGAATTTAAAAAAGATTCATGAGATTCAGTCTAAAAGAAAAATATGATAAAAACAAAATTTGTATAAACATTATTTAAAAGAGGACTTTTTGTCGCGCTCGCCGAAAGGAATAAGGAAACATTAAGAAAATTTATTTCTTCAAAAGGGACTAAGGTTTTTGCTCACTTAAACATAATGCTGCATTTGTAATTCGCAAGAAAAAAGACAAATTCCTCTTTCCCGCCAAGTTGCACAAATATAGCAAACAAAAAGCAAAAATAAAAAAAAAAGAAAATTTTAAACAAGAAAAGAGACTGGGTAGAGAATACAAAAAGTGTTAAAGTTCGTCCACGCTTTCTGGATTCCAACGTACATAAATTTCACTGCATCTCGAGTAATAAAAAAAGAAGCTCAACAGCTTAAATCACGCTTTCTACAAAGTACCACTTGAGACATTATTTTTTTTCGCCCCCTATTCATCATCATTTCTTTAATACAATTAACGTCCGCAACTATTATTTAATTATAAGTTCTTTTGCATTTAAAAAAGTGTAATGTAAATATCCTTTTGTATGTTTTTCCTGATTTTTATTTATTAATTAATTCTGTTATATATATAAAAAAAAGAAGGTAGAAAAATTTTATTTTTAAGAGAGAAAATTTTTTACTGTACTAGATACTTTTTTCTCAGGGAGATTTTTTTCAAGTTTCCGTTTCTGAGTTAGTGGGAAATTTTAGGGACTATTCTAGTAAAAATTTTTAATCTCTTCCTCTTTGTAAAATATACATATAACATATTCTATGAAATATTTTAATTATTATTAATGTTATTGAATTATTATTCGCAAATATTAATCCAAGTGAGATTGAGATGTATATATATTTATTTAAAATAAATTATGTAAATAATTAATAATATAATGAGGAGAATTATTTGAAGAATT